GATTAAATTGGCATACATTTTTTTAGAAACCTGTTTCAGCCAATAATAATTTTGTTCCATCATATCATGCTGGTTTTTGGAAACATCTAAGCCATTTTCCTATTTTTATCCTCATTCTCACTAAGTAGATGTTAGTATTCTACAGATATTTACAAACCAGGGTACAAAACATGTAGTTTTTATGTTGCCTTGTCATCTTTTAGGGGGGAAAAAGTCCATTCAAAATGTAATATGTTCATAATTAAGTGCTTTATGATTTTTTTTGAATGGGGTGATTACTTTTCAGCTGTGATGGCTCTTGTGCAAGAATAAAGCCATACACTCAAATCACCTGACTTGTAGTCATAGAAGGGGATCCCAGGTTCAGGAGGTTGAATGGTGACCTTCAAAAATGATCTGTCCATGTCCTAATTCCCAGAACCTACAAATAGGACCTTATTTGGGAAAAAGGTTTTTACAGATAGGTTCGCAAGATGAAATCATCCTGGATTTGGGTGAACCCTAAATCCAATGACAAATCCTTAGAAGAGGGGAACAGACACAGAGACACAGAAGAGAAGACCATGTGAAGACAGAGGCAGAGAAAAAAGGGATGGGTCTATAGGTCAAGGGACACTAAGAATTGCCAGCAACCACCAGAAGCTAGGAGGGAGGCATGGAGCCTATCAACCTGCAGAGCCTCCAGAAGGAACCAGCTCTGCCTACATCTTGATTTGGAACGTCTGGCCTCCAGAACTGTGAGAGAATACATTTCCCTTGTTTTAAACTACCAAGTTTGTCGTAGTTTGTTATGGCAGCCCTAGGAAACAAAGCTTATTACACCAGCTCATCACAATTCCTTTTACTAGTTGAGCAGCTATCCACATTAACAAAATTTGGGTTTGAAAAACTTTCTTGAGGAAATAAGTTAAGGAAGGCTTAACACCAGACTGCTGGGCTTCTGTTTCTATCCCATGAGTCATAAGCCTTTAAGCAAACATTAACACAGTTTTTAGAAATGGGAGATATATCTATTAGCATATTATTCATTGGACAAAAAGCATGTGGACAAAACAACATCAGGGTGCATAAGCTGTTTAGTCTTAGAAAACTTTCATAGTTATAAATAATTGCAGAGCTATTTACCACCTATAGGAATAGCTTAGAGACTAAAGATGAACGGACATTTCTTGTATTGCATAAGGCTAAGGAAAAAGGCGTGGGCACCTAGATGGCTCAGTCGTTAAGCGTCTGCCTTCAGCTCAGGTGGAGATCCCAGGGTCTTGGGATCCAGCCCCACGTCGGGCTCCCTGCTCGGCAGGGAGCCTGCTTCTCCCTCTCCCACTCCCCCTGCTTGTGTTCCCTCTCTCGCTGTCTCTCTCTCTGTCAAATAAATCAATAAAATCTTTAAAAAAAAGAGCAAATAGCTAATGGGAAATGCTGGTGATAAATAAGTAAACAAATAAATAAAATATTGGCACATGGTATAAAGGAAATAAACAAGGTAATCTAACCATCTAGTAAAAAGTAGCCTTGCCAATCTTTTTGTTTTTTTGTTATTGGCATAAAAAAGCTATTAAACTTAATTGTGTTATTTATTTGCCTACTTATTTATTTTCTCCTACTGGACTATAAAAGCCACATGATCAGGAACCTAGTCTTGTTTCCTGCTCTTTCCCCAGTGTGAGGACACTGCCTGGCACATAGCAGACACACAGTACCTATGTGTTCAATACATTTGCTGATGAAGTGAATATGATAGAAACTGACAGAGGCCCTGTGCCAGATGAGGGGACCCAGAAAGCATTGTATTTGTATTTGTGTTTGCAATGCATTTGTTTTTAAAATCCTTGGTTAAAGTGTTTGACCAAACCGCTTTGGTTTGTCTTTATTTCTAAATATGACACTTGTTTTTTAAATTTACAATTGACCTAAAGCTGTTTAACAATTGCTTATTAAAAACTTACTAAAAAGCTGTTAAAATGCTTATTAAAAACTTCAAACAAAATTACAAGACTATCTTTTAAAACAAATAGGTATGAAGAATTAGGGAACTCACTTCCTTTAAATTCCACAGTCTACTTCTCACTTCAGAATTTTAAGAGATTGGCTGGCCTGCTGAAATCACAGGTTTGCATTTAAATCATCCTAAATAAAGCCAGAAAGCCTTATTCTAAATTTCTAGGGTGTGAAATTATTTTCCTTTGCTTTCTTTTTTATCTCTTAGCTTTAGATATTTACTTTAAACTCAATAAGAAAATTTGAATACCCTAAGAGAAAAATGAGCAAAGGATAGAACAAGAAGCTGTTGTGATAAATGAATAAATTTTAAAAATGAAGAGAAAGAATATAAAAAACACAAAGAGCCAGACAGTAAAGGAAAGCCTGTTCTACCTCTTTTGCAATTAGGGAATTGCAAATTAAAATAATGAGGTACCACGTGTTGCATATCATTTTGGAAAGAAACCGTTTGGGGAAACAGGAACTCATACACTGTTATTGTGACTGTGTATTGTTTCAACCTTTCCAGGAGCAATTTGACAAAATGAATTAAAAGCCTTAAAAATACATTTGCCTTTGACCTATTAATTTCACTTCTGAGAGTATATCTTAATGAAATAATGAAGTATGTGTGAATATTTAGCCATAAAGATAATTAAATGAAGTACTGTTTAAGGTAGCAAAGTATTGGACATCATTTAAGTGACCAACAAGAGCAAAATAAAGTTATGGCACTTTTTAAAATTCAATATCATCGTATTTGGCAACTATAAGTATTTTCCACAAGTTTACTTATTGACTTGGAAAGATGCTGAAGGAGTATTAAGGGGGAAAAAAAGCAAATTAAAAATAATTGTTCCAGTATTGTGTAAAAATATTTACATATCTTGGAGAAAGGGAGATAGAGACTGAGGTAGGAAAGACATGAAGTCTATGCATGGAAGTGTTTTTTAGTGGTTGTTTGTGGATGAGTAGATTGTCTATGGTGAACACACAGGCTTTTGTAATATAGTGTGTATGCTTTATTTAAAATGTAAAGATACATAATTTTGCTCTAAAGTTTCCCTGGGGTAACCAATAGAAATGTGGACAGAGGCCATGAACAGGCAGTTTATATAAACAGACACCGGGTTAGGTATCCTGGATGTGAAAAGATGCTTGAACTCACAAGTGAAAGAAGAAATGCGAATATTACATCAATAGGATACCACTTTGTATCCTTTGGATTGGCAAAAAAAAAAAAAAGGTAGAAATTTGGTGAGAAAAAGGGGAAATAGAATTCTGATGGAAGTCTCTATTGGCACAACTCATTCTAGAGAATGGGTCTGGAGGGCCATTCTGGAGAGCACATTAAGTGGGTTTTTCTGGGAATAGCCATCAATCCAGGTCCTGGTAATAAGGAGAAAACCAAATCAAACTGACTTTATTTTATTATGGGTTAATATGGATCTGTTAATATTATGGACTTTGTTTTATTATTTATATCATGGATAGAAAAAGCAGATAGGAGTGCTGCTTCTCTCAACGTAATTCATACAAACACAATGAGTTGTCTTACTAAAAGAAAGTAGTTAAAATCTTGATAAAGGATCCCATGAACTTAGATTTTATAATAAATGAGGAGGAAATGGATAAAAATGATGAGATCTGTGAACTTTAGGAAAGCAGACTTCAGAATGGCCCAGCATTAACATAGCTTGTTTAAGCCTCAAAGAAGCTGCCAGCCCAGGGGTGACACAGCAGCTTAGAAGGACACAGGAAATGACCATTTGGCCAGAACTATGTCAGATTTTGTAGACAACAACCACTTTATACATCCTGGAAGTCGGGCATAATACCTACTCCTGTCCTAGCTCAGTAAGAAAAATATTCAGAAAGATTTTATAAACAAAAAGACCTCCAAGTATCATTAGCATTGAATCTTCCTCTGGCCCCCATTGTGGGGCCAGAGGTGAGGATTAAAACTAGGAATATCATGTCCAGACCTTAATGCCAGCTAAGGCAGTGACAGTGGAGACCGTAATAAGTAAGGCAACGTAGTCTGTGTACCAGAAAGCTGGAGACCACCGAAGCGTCTGTATCTGGAGAGAGGGCATAAGTAAATAGTGGCCGATGGTTACCACGGAATTCTTTGCAGCTGATGTTAGAAATAAGCATGCAACCTGCAATGTGATTAGATCTGAGGAGGTTCATAGATAGGGTTGCCAGATAAAATATAGGGTGCCCAATTCAATTTGAATTACTGACAAATAACAGGTACTTTTTCAGGGTAAGTATATCCCAAATAATTGCTAAGTCTGCTCATTCTAGCCATTGCACAACACAGTTTCGGAAAATAAAAGCTATGCACACAGGCAAATCAACCCAACTTATTTCCTAAGAATATATAGCAAACACAGGGATAGCTGTTGTGTTTGTGGTAGAGGATAGTGGGGATACAAATGAATACATAAATATTACATAAACAATGACATAAGTGAGGGCCTTGAATGGACAAGTGGTGATAGTGAGCTGAGTATGATGAACTCCACTCTCTGTGCCTAAATCCAAAAAGAAGTAAAAAAGGTTTGCCTGCACTCTCCTGGAATTTCTTCCCTGAAGTCCTGCTGACGCTGTCTGGCTGATATCTGTTCTACAGAACAATCCCTGTGGAATACTCTGGCACTTCCAGCAAAATTAAGCCACGGGAAAGTGAGTAGGTGAGGGAGTGGGTAGGTGGCAAAGGATTCAGGAGGGGAAAAAATTAATAACTTTATAAACCTCGTAAAAAAAAATGAAACCAGTAGACAAATCTCTTAGGAACATTGCTTCACCTAGATTTACTTTTCTAATAGAGGAACATTCTTATAGAGTAAATATTAGTGAAAGAATATCAGCAAGCACAAATCCTTAACTGTTGCTGACAGTCAGCTGGAAGAGTAGGCAAAGTTTAAACTCTCCCCATTGAAAAATGACAGTTCAGTACATGTCACCAAGTAACCCTTACTTTCTTAAAACCTTTTTCTTTTTTAATGTTACAGCTGATTACAAGGAGAGCTTTAATACGATTGGAAACATCGAGGAGATTGCATATAATGCTGTTTCCTTCACCTGGGATGTGAATGAAGAGGCGAAGGTGAGTGGAAAAATAGTATTGATTCATTCCTCATGCCTTTTGAATAATGCCACCATTCTCTGCAGATGATTCTTTCACAAAAGCCTCTGTAAGTAGGGGAAGACCTGTTAACTCCAGCCAGAAAAAAAGGAACTGAACCTGTTATCTTTCTCTAGAAGTTACGTGCATTCAGTTATGTGCGGTTAAATTGCCCTTTGGGGGGTAAAGGAGAAAAGGGAGTGTGCGTGTTTTGCTGTGGCCTCCTGCAGGACAGGCCAAGCTACGTGTCCCTCCCAAATCCTCCAGCTCCCCATGCTTCATTTTAGCATGTGGGCTGGCAAGGCTGGGGCAGAGAACCTTTTTTACCTACACTGCAGGTTCCCCCAAACAGCCCTGACTGCTGCCTTCTACAGAGGCAGGAAAGTGTTCAGAGCTAAAGCCCCATAGATAAGTGACTGGGCAGGCCTCTGGCCACATGAGTCCCTCCAGGCATACCCTGGTTGAGGGAGAGGTACAGAAGGCTGGGCTGCAGGTCTCTGACCTTCACTCCCTGCAGTATAGCCACCACCGTGACCTTGAGCCAAGTCTTTCATGCTGACTGCTTTAGCTTTTCCAATTTTTCTCTGGTTAGTGGTAAAATCTCTGGCTAGTTGTGCCCTGAAGATAGACGTCCACCACTACAATACTTTGGGTAAAAAAAGTAAGACTTGGTGATACTTCGATTTGCTTTCCAGACATGAGTCTCTTTGATTTTATGAAAACTACAGACTTTCTGCTTATGCTCACTTTTCTGTGTTCTTTAGCTTCTGACCTTTGATCTTTATTTTTCACTGAAAAAAGGTTCCAGATGAAACCTAAGCTTATTTTCTGTCTCAGTCATGTACCATTTAGGAGGGTGTTAGAAGACTCTGTCTTCAAACTAATGAAAAGGTCAATGTAAACAGTTCCCTTCAATGCTTCATTGTCTGCGAGCAGGGGGAAGGCTGGGTGAGAAAGGAAACTGGATGGGAGTTTGTGGGCGTGAGTTATGGAAGAAGAAGAATTGCTCAGTGTCTCGTTTCACTCAGGTATGAAACAATGTAAGTGAAATTGGCTTTAGGCCCAAGAAAGGTGACCCAAATGGGTAAGCAGCAACAGAGTGCCAGAACAGCCTGGAGAATGTTCCAGTGGCTCAGTGCATCCAAAGGAAGGAAGTAGGCTTTGCAGTGGTTTCTCCACAGACCTGTAGGAGAAATTTGTCTCTGCGATCCACTCCGCCTCCATCTGTAGCTCCTCGTGCAAACCTTGTGATCTCTCCTCATGCCCCACTCTCTCAGAGACCAGATGACGGGGGTAGATAATGAAAGGCCGCCTCTGCAATGGCACCATGGGGCGGGGGTTGGAGTCCTTAGTGAGCCATCTGACCTCCCTGGGCTTCAGTTCCCTCCCACATAACAAACTCAACACTTCCAGTTGTCTCTGGGGCACCATGAGTGGTGCTGGGGTTATGATGGGTGAAGATGTGGTGCTCAGGGAGAGAGGACAGGGGATCCAGTAACCCTCCAGGAGTGTGAGGGGTGAGAGGCAGGCCCACCACATGCGAGCACAGGGCTCAGGAAGACGGTGGGATCCTACCATCGAAAGTGCCTTGTCACTGTAAAGCGAGCTATAAATGTGAGCTGCCGTCATATCTCCAGTTTTCATCATCAGGCAGTCTGTGACAATGAGTGCTAGGGAGTGAATGTGTCAGTGGAGGCCTTATAAAGAAATTGCCTAGGGCGCCTGGGTGGCTCAGTCGTTAAGTGTCTGCCTTCGGCTCAGGTCATGATCCCAGGGTCCTGGGATCGAGTCCCACATCAGGCTCCCTGCTCAGCGGGAAGCCTGCTTCTCCCTCTCCCACTCCCCCTGCTTGTGTTCCTGTTCTCGCTGTCTTTCTCTGTCATATAAATAAATAAAATATTTAAAAAAAAATTAAAAAAAATAAAAAAAATAAAAAGAAATTGCCTAACCAGAAGGGACAGCTTAAATGATGGAGGCTCTGTGGTGAACCAGCAAGGTAGTCACAGTGGGGTTGAATTGACCTTTCTTTTAGCCCAGTTCAGACGATAGCGCTCATTTCCCGTAGGTAGAAGCTCACTTCTCTTCTTTCGGTATGTGCGGTTGTGCCCTTGTGTTCTGACAGGTTTAAGCCCACATAGACTTTGACAAATGGCAGTGGAGAATACTTTATATTGCCTATTGGGGCAAAATTTGTTTGTTTAGTATATATTTTTAGTGACTGTTACTTGGTTGTTGCAGTTGTATGCAGTCTGGCTTAATCAATAAGCAATTAAAAAAATAATAATTTCCCTCAAACTACTGGAAGGATTTTTTTAAAAAGAAAAACCATGCAAGTTAAATTCACTTCATTAAGGAGGCAAGAATATTTTTTTGTTCAACCTGTAGACCCTAAGGTATTTCTTTAAAATATTATTGATTTTAGGGGTGCCTGGGTGGCTCAGTTGGTTAAGCGTCTGACTCTTGATTTCAGCTCAGGTTGTGATCTCAGGGTTGTGAGATTGAGCCCTGCTTGGTGGGGAGTCTGAGATTCTTTCCATCTGACCCTCCCCCCGCTCGCACGCACATACTCTCTCTCTCTCTCAAAATAAGTGAATAAATCTTTAAAAAATAACATAAAATATTATTGTTTTTAAAATAAGCAGATTGCGGGGAGCCTGGGTGGCTCAGTTGGTTAAGCGACTGCCTTCAGCTCAGGTCATGATCCTGGAGTCCCTGGATCGAGTCCCGCATTGGGCTTCCTGCTCGGCGGGGAGTCTGCTTCTCCCTCTGACCCTCCCCTCTCTCATGTGCTCTCTCTCATTCTCTCTCTCTCAAATAAATAAATAAAATCTTAAAAAAAAAAAAAATAAATAAAATAAAATAAGCAGATTGCAAAAAACAAAGTTGTGTGTTTGTTGAGGAAATAGTTTCAACAAAGCAAGAAGTAAAAGTGTTCTTCTCACAGAAGAGTTGTGATTTTCATAATGTGGACTTCTCAGGAGCTGTTGTACTTGCCTTCAAGTTCTATTTGTAACATCCACAGAGAAATCTTCTGTGGGCTTCCAGGCTGGGGCTCCATTTAGTGTCACATGTTATTTTGGTTTACATGGCCAGAGGACACAAAGTTATGACCTACAGCTTTTGTGTGGCCCAAAGAATGTTTACATATATGTGTGTGTGTGTGTGTGTGTATCATGCATTTTTGTTTATATTTCAATTTAAAAATTTTTAGCTCATATTTAATAATCAGGAGATTATGGTTTTTTAAATCTAGGCTTCCAGATTCTTTTAGATAATGAAAGATTCTGGCACCCATAAGCCCAAGTGTTTGCCCGGCCATGAGTGGCTCTTGTGAGGTAGTGACTGTTCTTTTTAATACTTTTTCTAGTCTTTTCCATTCTGGAAATTTCCTTACTTGGTCCTCAAGGACATCTGAGTTTTTATGCCTCAACCACACCCCCCAAACAACTGAATATGCAGTTTACATCTTCACTGGTTGTCAGAGTTGGGGAAAGTAGTGACCCAATGGAGGTTGACACAGTATGTCAGAGAGGAGTGGGCCAGGAGCGCCTCCAGCATTCCCTGGTTCCTTGGGCCAGGCCCTTGGCAGCAGGCCAGAGGTCGACTTGTGTTGGCACTGTTCGAGAGAGTTGCTGTGGCCTTTCAAATGCCCACGATGGTGGTAAATCTTGATCTTTGAAGATGTTTAAAGAAAAACATCAGAAATCACTTGGGAACAAATATAAATACATATCAACAAGTTGGATAACATCACTCCATGGTTAAAAATGAGATTTCTCTTGCACAAGACCAGCTTTAAAGACAAGGTCAGAAGAAATACTAGAAATATACTTTGAGTCACAGCAGCATCATTTGAGAAAACCATATGTTTTCCTGTGGTAGCTATGTTAAAGGGTAGCTTTTATTTGGAGATTTAAGTTTTGGGACATTTGTTAAAAAAAAAAAACAGTCTGGTATTTGGTAGTCTTACCATATATGTATACTTATAAGACCTGACGATATTTATGGCTTTTTCTAGAGCATGGTTCCTACTTCTTTCTTTTGTTGCCACCTTACATTTTATTTCTAGCTCTCCTTTAGCATGAGTAGAAGAAAGGAAAGGTTGTGAAACTCTAATTGTTTAATATAGGAGGGCGCCTGGGTGGCTCAGTCGGTTAAGCGTCTGCCTTCAGCTCAGGTCATGATCCCAGGGTCCTGGAATCGAGTCCCGCATCAGGCTCCCTGCTCAGTGGGAGCCTGCTTCTCCCTCTCCTCCCTGCTTATACTCTCTCTCGCTATCTCTGTCGCTCTCTCTCAAATAAATAAATAAAAATAGTAAAAAAAAATTTTTATCTATAGGAAAAAGTTGGGCTAGGGAAGATGTTAAAACTGTTAGTTAAAATGAGGTCTGGGGATTAACTCCAGATTCTCAGCCTCAATTACAACATGGTTCTGGCATAAGGATCAGCGTTCTACCCAGAACCGGTTTTGCTGGTTGTGCCACAGTGTCCCTCTGTGCAGTGACCCAAGCAGCAGAGATAGTCTTCAACAGGACATTCTTTTCCCCTCAGGGTCTGTGCAGTTTGCAAGCTCATGTAACATTAACTGATATCCCTGCATCCCCGGGAATGACTCAGGTGATATCTGGGTGTTTGAGGGTCTCAGTGTACACACAATCACAAATTGGAAATGGCTGGGGGATCATAGGGTGGTATAGAAGAAACAGCCCTGAAATGGAGTTCAGACAGTTGGGGACCAGTCGTGGCCCTGGAAGAGCTGGCTTTGTGACTTTCCCCTCCTGAGCTTCAGTTTCCTCAGCGGGAAGATGGCAGGAAGGGGGGGGGGGTTGACAGAGGATTAAGGTCCAATCCATGTGATTCTAATGGGAAGATCACAGTGCTACATTCTTTCACCTGACTCCCGTTTACAAGGTCATTTCCATTTTTCTTTTTTCCCTTAGCCAAACATTGGTATCTACAAAGTAGATTTGTTGCTCACTAATC